CATTAAAGGTCTGCAGGAAGGCTATGAACCTAGAACCAGATTGCCTCATGCTTAAACCAAGCTATACTTAACTAAATTCCTGAGGTAGTCTCTTTATAAATCTTGGAAGTTTTCTCTCTTCCAATAAGATGTTCTAGTGGATAATTAAAAGGAGTGAAAGCATAAATGAGTCAAGAACATCAGATTTTGAATAGGCTGTGGTCTTTTTGTCTCCATGTGATGGATATCTTCCCAGAGCACATGTTTAGATCTTCAAAATTAAGCTAGACAAAACAGACCAAGGTTAAACCAAAATGTTAAGCCAAATCTAAAAGAGGTCTGAGACTTTTTCACCGCAATGTTGTCTTAATATTAGAGACAAGAACTATTCCCTCCTTTGTATTTGTTCAGTTCTGAGAATCATGAAAGGCCAGAAAATTGTATTTAGTAGACGGTGGCTAGTTACACCTACTCTAATCTCACTGGGATTTTCCCCATTCTAGGGAATTCCCGGGAGGTGAGAAAGAGCAAGTTTTGTTCAGTGATTCAAAGAGAACAGAATCAAAGCCAAATTCTAGACCTTTACATTATATTCCTTTTTATTCAGTCAGTTTTAAATTCAGTATTTCTGCTGCTATTTTCAGACCCCTGATCATCTTTAGCGTTCTTTAGGAATAAAAAACCCCCAACTGAATGTTTCTTTTGATGCTATTTAAATTACAGTCATCTTAGATAATGTGATATCTAATCTAATGTAGAACTTCTCTTCCCTTCTGAGTTGCTTGATGAGAATATTGTTGGGTTTGGAATTTTTTTTAGAGAAAAATATAAATGTACTTTTCTATTTTCCTTTCCCATGTACGTCACTTCTCAGAAACATACTGACACTTTATGCTTTCCTTCACTGTATCTAATGAACTAAGTGTACTGTGCTACTTAAGTAAACCTTACCTACATAGCATTCAGCATTTTCAGCTCACAAAGTAGTATCAAGTGTAAGTTCCAGCTGTGGCTCGGGGGGGGTCTGGCTGTGGCCAGCAGAGTCACTCCTGCTCCTCCCTTCACTTGCCTCCTCAGACCTCCAGGTTCTGGCCCACGCTGGCTGCTGTGCAGTAAGTTGGACAAATTCGTTGATCCAAATGAAAATGACCCTCTGAACAAAAATGTTTTGAATTAGGAAGATCCATAAGCAATAGAATCAATGCAAGAGAAGCGGAAGGAAAACACTGCTGAGGAGAAGGCATGGGTTCACATCAGCTTAAACATACAGCAATAATATGTATTTGGAGTAATTTCATGTGTTGAAAACAATGAACAGACACTGGTTAGGTGTCAAGAATTGGAAACAAAGTGATAAATTTCAGGATTAATTTATGCCAATGCTGCTTACTATACACCTCTCCCTTCCCATCTTCCTCCTTCATACTTTCTATCTCTGAATATGATCTAGTCACTGCTTAGATGAAAACTTTCCAAGAAAACCCAGAAGATCATGGAAGGGGTCATTAATGACTCAGCACATTGCACTTTGACCTCTGATTCAGTGCTTCAACACAGTAGTAAAGGTTTCTGTTCTGGTTTTAATGCCACCTCTCTAAAGGAATGTTTGTCTGAAAATACAAGTGCCAATCTGCTCTAGCCTCTAAGGGAACTCATGGCACACACTTACTGGAAGACAGAGCTGAAGGTACTGCCATGATGAAATTCTTATATGTGTACCTTTATTCATCCCAAACTTCTGAAACATAAGTAGATGTAAGATTCTTCATGTGTCACGAACAAATGTGGGCAGCACTGCTGTGTGCTTTACATTTAAATATTGCTTTCTAAAAACTCAGGTGAAATTCTGAGTTCTTACATTCCTTGTTTGTAATGTCCAAAGCAAGTCAGGATGTTTCAGTCTGTACTTTTCTCTACAGATACGATTCAGTAGTACAGGGCACAATTTACAAAGCATATTCCAGAGTAATTTTATTTTGTATCTAATAAGTGTTGGGAGGTTTCAAGTTTGGTTTCTGGTTGTTTATCCTTTGTACCATTTATCCTCTCAATGCTGAGCAGAATTTGTCACATAAGCAAAGAGGAGTCTGCTGAATAATAACTTCTATTGGGTTTTTCAGGTCAGTGTTTTCAAATGACGTCAAAGTTGTAAATGGCTTTAGAAAACATTTTATGTAACAATTCTGAAAGCCCATGTGGCGGTTTTTCTAATTAACTTATTTAGCCTAGTTTTGGAGTAACATCAGCTGTTTCATCACTTTTAGGCTATTTTGAGTATTCTTTGTGGCACCATCAATAAGCCAAGAATTTATAGAGTTTCTTAATCATACAGATGAGTCATCACTGCCTGCTCATAACAGAAGCTTGAAATGCTCATTAAAATTGTCTGATGTGAATCAAAAGTTAGTATAGTGGCAGAATTAAATGATGAGAGAATAGCATTATATTAGCCAAACAATTTTCTTGAATACTGGTTTCAGTGAAAGTGAAGCCTCGAGGCTTATATATAGATCAGTACTCTGAATTTATTTAATATGGAAAATAAAAATAGGCTTCTGGAGTGAAGAATTGTTCTGGAATGATTGGTGGTCATGCCTAAAATGAAATCAAGTGGAGGGTTTGTTTACAGTGAGCTACAGGAACGTGCTGCACGTTCTTGCTTAGTCTGTTTTAGCCGATTTTTAAAATTGGCTAATTATAAATTACTGTTCCAACTTGATCCTTTGCCCTTTGCCTTGTATCTTTCCATCAAAACAATAAAAAGGTCATCTCCCTGCCTTCCACAAGCAGTTTGATTCCCACAGGCCGTTGTTATGCCTTGCTGCTTGAAACACTGAGGCCCAGATTCTCATCTCACCAAGTCTGTTTGTTCACCGGTGAAATTCTGATGCTTCTGTTGGAGTCGCATGTTGATGCCAACATAAGAGAAGAATCAAGTCACAGTCTGGCCACTGTTAAAACAAGAATATGTATGGCTGAACTTACGTCTTGCAAATGCACATGAACTCTGAGCAGTGCTATTAGCAGATGTGTGCTGGGATGTCGCAATTGTTAATCTAAAAATATGTTAGCTTTTTGTGGAAGCAAATTCTATCGAGAATGAAGAAACAACCTAAGGAAGGAAAATGAATTGAGGCTTGATACCATTTTCATACTGCAGAAGCAAATTCTATCTAGAATGAAAAAACAACCTAAGGAAGGAAAATTAATTGAGGCTTGATACCATTTTCATACTGCAGAACTTAAATGAGAAGACAGTGTGAGCTAGTGGATTGAGCTGATCTCTGGCTTTGGTTTTGCCATTGGCTTCTTGAGTGACCCAAGGCATGAAAAGTCAAAATGCCTTGACTAAGTTCCGTACCCCCAAAACACAAATAATGATGATGTTCTGCTTTTTAAGGTGTAGTGAGATCTGTGGATGAAAGGAATTACACAAGAGCTACTATTACTATTTATTACCAAGACTCTGTGAAACATCCCTCCTCTACTGAATGGCACATCATCGTTTATCTGTGGTCACTCACACAAAATAAACCTTCCTGCTGTGTACCATACCCTCACACTAAAATCTGGGGTGCTCCATCAGCGAGCACTGACCCTACTTAGAATTTGCATCCCTAGCTGCATCTCTCTGCAAACTGTAACTGCTCATGAAGCACAGACCTGTAACAACTCCTTCAAAGCAAAAATCTTAGTGTCTGGGAGTTCAGGACTTGTTTGACTTTGCTGGTTTAATTTTAGGTTTTCTTGATTTTTCTAATGATCCTAAACCTTTGGACTGATGGATGCTGGAATTGAAAATTAGAGGGAGAAAAAAATGTTTCTCCTGAGAATTTTCAGTAAGTTAGGCTGTGCTCTGTTATTCATTCCATAAGATTCTGCAAATACCCATATGTCCCAGAAGCTGCAGCAAAAACTCAGGAAGTAATATACATGTATTCTTCATATCCTTTCAAAAAACTATCTGTAGTGTTTTCCTAATGCAGAAGCATGTAACTTTTTTTTTTTTGAATTGGAGGGCTAGAAGTTTCATAGAATTCCAGAAAGAGTAAGGTTGGAAGGGACCACAGTGACTCATCTGGTCCAACCTCCCTGCTCAGGCAGCATCATCCTAGAGCACAGGATGCATCCAGACAGTTCTTTAATATCTCCAGTGAGGGAGACTCCACAGTCTCTCTGGGCATTCTGTTCCAGTGCTTGGTCACCTGCACAATAAGAAAGTTCTTTCTCATGCTCAGGTAGAACTTCCTGTGCATCAGGTTGTGCCCATTGCCTCTTGTCCTATTACTTGGCACCACTGAGAAGAGCCTGACTCCATCCACTTGACACCTTTCCATGAGATACTGATACACATTGATGAAGTTCCTCAGTCATCTCTTCTCATGCCTGAACAGGCCCAGCTCCCTCAGCCTATCCTCATAACAGAAATGCTCCAGTCCCTTAATCATCTTTGTAGCCCTCCACTGGAGACACTCCAGGAGCATCATGTGTCTCAGGTACTGAGAAGCCCAGAACACATTTTTTAAACTTTGAAGCTGTTTTAAGGTTTATTGGTAAAATAATGTTACAAATTGACTAACAGAGCTGTAGTTCATCTCTTCATTAGGGCAGATTCTTCTGCTTTCTTTCAGACTCCCGTTCCCCATGCTCCCTTTCTATCCTGCAGACTTCTGGAAACTTGGAAACTGTCATTGAGTGAACAGGTTGCTAGCACATCATGGGATGCCCTCCCTCCCCACACATTAACTTTTCTGTAACTTAAGAGATTTAAAAATTACATTATTAAGCCTTGTACCTGGAATGTATGGCTTGAAGAGACAGAAATTTTGGTCATCTGCGTGTTGTAAACGCAATTTTGAGTTACGCATTTTAACAGAAGTGTCAAGAGGAAGGTAACCTTTTGCATTCACAGTTCTTCCACACAGTCTCAGTGGTGTCTTCCTTTCAACTTTTATTGGAGATAGCAAAGCATCTGGTAGGGTTAACAAAATTACAGTTTTGTTTTGTTTTTTCTTTCCAAAATGGAAATGAAACCAGAATACACTCCTGATGGTTTTCGGCTCGTATTAGTGCATCTGGTTCTGGGCACCCATCCCCAGGAGAATGTAAATGTAATTGGAGTGCATTCAAGAAACAACAAAATGCTGAGAAGTTGTAAAGCTTGATTTGTATGAGAAAAACTTAAAAAAGAAAAATGTTAAATATGTACAGTGTGCCTGAGTGACAGCAGAGGGGAGGAAGATTTTGATAATGATCTACAGTTCTAAGGGGTGTGAACACCAACAGAGGGAAAAAATTGCTCAAGGATGGTTCAAGAAGGTATAATTAGATGTAATGGAATTAAACAAGCTATATGTAAACTTGAGCTGAATGTTGCACTAAAAAAAACATGAGTAGTGAGACCTATAGATTTATTATTTCTCTCTACTGAGCTAGCACTGGGGTATCCCAGTTAGGGATCAAGTGCTTCTTTTCCTGTAGAAACACAGAACATAAACAAAGGGAATGCAGTCTGTCCCTTGACTAAGAGACAAGAAGCTTTACTGGGTGGCATATAAGGAACAAACTTTAACTGGTGGGATTGTGGAGCAGAGACCCTAAAAGGTCTTTCAAGTATTTTTCAGTCTCCTGACTGACTGTTGAACCATTAGGACTATAAGAATGTAACTCTTACTTTGAAGGTGCTTGTTATTTTCAGTCACTAATGTATGTAAATATTGCTTTAAATTGGAATAGCCTTACTACACGATTGCCAAGACCTGGAGAAACTATCCTTGGACATAAGTTTTTCATTGGCTTTGGTGGGAAAGGAGCCAACCAGTGTGTCCAGTCTGCTCGACTTGGGGCCAAGACCTCACTGATCTGCAAGGTAAGCACTGACTTGCTCTTGGATTACTGCTGAACTAAATGTTCATGCAAATTCCTGTAAACCTTTCAGTGACTTGCGGAAAAGTTTTTGGTGTGTTTTTAGTTTTTTTAATCCCTCTCTAATTCTCTTTTCTTTTTCTTATTTCAGATATAAATGTAAGCATGGAGGAGGCTGTTTTAAGAACGCTGCCAGAACCAAAGACTAGTTGGCTAGAGATCTGGCAGAAATTGCATATAGAGGTGGATTGCAAAACTTAGATTGATATACCATGAGAAAGAGAATTGGAGACAGTTAGAGATGTTCAAAATTCAAGTAATCTTGATCAGCCCCTCCTCTGTATCTTCCCCACTGTTACAGTGATCAGGACATCACTGATTGTATTCAGGTGCTATGGCCAATCTGTATTTACTTTGTAGAAGATTGAAAATCAGACACTGACAAGTCAGTGACAAATTTGAGAAGAGATGTAAAACTTTGTGCTTTGAGGGTTAAGTCATTATCTCATTACTTGAGGTTAAGATGAGTTTTTATGTCCAAATTCTAGCACCTTTGTCTGCTATGGGATATTTTTGCCTACTTTTTTGAAACATTTGATATATAGCAGTTCCAAAGACTGGCTCACAGACCATTGGGCTGATTCAGCTTGGCAGATGCTATATTCTTACAATGCTTTTCTTTGATTTTTGTCATTAAATATTATGAGTTTTGAGTGATCATTACTACAGTTAAGATCAAGTTTTCTCTCTCCAGCCTTATTGTCTATCCTGTGCTAACTGTAGATGAAACTTCAAATTGACTGGACATAGTTTGTTTCTCGCTGTAGCTGGGGAGGATGCTAAATTTGTTGGATCATTGTCTGTCAGGGATTTTTTGAGAAGTACTGGAAACATCTCAGGGAAGCCTTTCTCACTGGTTTTCCAGTTCAATATTTAGACTAACGAACATTTTAGCTACACTGCACCTGAAAGCATTTCTGTGGGTCAGTATCACTCGTTCTACAGTCTGGGGTTGTTTTTTTTATATTGGCAGTGTTTGTGCTTCTGTAACATTGTGTATATTTGATCATCTTTGCCTTCAAGAATGATCAGATTCAAGTACAAGATGAACTGGCAGTGAATTCCCTGCTAACATTTCCTGCTAAATGTTAAAGGGTTTTTTTCCACTGCAAGTGTGAATTTTGCTTTATTTTTTAATGGTGTAGCCTGTGCTCAGTGCATATATGTTTCTGGAAACATTTACATCCATAATAAAGTCTAGAAGCTACTATAGTCTCTAATTACTTTTCAAAAATATATTTATATTGTTTTAGTGAAATCTAGTCTTCCTTCCTTCCTTCCTTCCTTCCTCCTTCCATCCGTCCTTCCTTCCATCCTTCCTGTATTTATTGGAGAAAAGAAACAGCAGAGAATGACTCTCAATATATATGTTACCATTTTTTATTATTTTTACTACTAGAAGTTAATATTTAGTTTTTAATGAAAATTCCACTTCATAGCTTCACAAAATAGTCTTGTTGCAGAAGTCTCATCTCGTACACGGTCTTATGTCTGCATAGGTCAGTGAGATATAAAGTTACTTGTTGAATAAACTGATAAGAATCAGGGAATAATGAGCCTCTATAATTAAATGTTTTTTACTTTAGCAAGTCATTTTAAGCATTCAGTGTTTTTTTAAGCCAGATTGCCCCTCTCACACACATTCTGTCCTCAGTGACATGCTTGTGTTTTGATTATAATTTCCAACAGTTTTTTTATCCAGTACAGGTGCAACAATTGTTTCTACAGCCTGAAGTTCAGGGAATGGAATCAGTACTAATTCTAGAGGGACACTCTGTTAGACTGTGGCATCCTCTTAGGAGAACTGTAATTTAGCCAGAGGATATCCTCAACAAGAGTAGACCTAGACATCTCAGATCAAGTGACAAGGCATCCTTCATACCTGAGAGCTTTAAAACAAAAGAGCCAGTGACTGGTGAAGGTTTGAGAGAGGAGTTTTAGAATGACTTACAGTTATGACTAGCAATGTCACAGAATGCTGTGGATTTTAATGTTAAAAACAGGTACTGATTTTGAGCATTGGAAATGCAAACAGTGTTTTGCTTCCTGCCTTGGTGTTTCTGCAAGTGGCCACTGTTACTCTAGGCTATTGATGTGTGTCACAGTAGCAGTCTTCAATTTGCTCCCTACAGCGAAGCACTGCATTGATGGAATAGTTACAGAGAAATGCAAAGGATTGCTGTCAGGGAACTGAAGGATCTAAGCAAATAAATTAATTGCTCATGTTCATACAAGAATACTGTTGCAGTACTGAAAAAAAAAATGTTCTTGAGAGATTCCAAACTCCCCAAACGATTCTTTTTTTTTCCCCTTTTTGTCATGGCCATTACCAAAAAAAGCTGTTAACATCATAGATTAAGGTGGTGGAGGGAGAGGACTGTTGGTTTGAAAGACATTACATGTGCTAAAAAGGTCCTCATTTACTTTTGATAAACAATTTTGAATGATCTTCATGGGACATTGCTGTCACCAGCCTGATATTGCATATACTAAATTCTGTTTAAGCCTCAGCTGCATTTGATTCCTACTTAGAAAGAGGAAACACTGTATTATCATGCTGTGTAGTCTTTTCTCTTTAAATGATCCATAAGCCAAATGTAATTTAAAGTGCTGTAAGCCTGAATCCTCACTTCCTTGTAAGAATATAGCTGTATCTCAGATGCTGCCCAGAATGTGATGGATATCTTCAGTTGTTTGTTTTTTCCTTTTGTATTACTGTCTTATACTTGTCTTTACTACCTATTCCCTAATGACAGAAAAGAGTAAACATTCACCAAAAAAAGAGCATATAGAATGAGCAAAAGTTGTCCAGAAGTACATGGCTTTTGTTGTAGTTAATTTTCAGGTACAGATGAGTTTGATTCTCCAAGCTGGTGGAATTCTAGCTGCTATGATGCCAGCCAGCTCCTCTAGCTCCACATGGAGAACATGATCGTAAGCAGGGAAAACACAGATTGAAAAATACTGATGTAAATCCACTCATTCTGATATGCAAAGTCAGTGACCATAATGCTTACACAAATGGCTTTTGTTGTTAAGAACTCAAGAAAGAAGAAATGCTATTTCAGCACATTCAGTGTTCTGTGGTCAGCAGACCAAGACATTTATTTTTCTGTTTATCCAATAGTCCATCGAACAGGGTCTGTGCAGAAGCAGAAAATATTTAAAACATTGTTATATAATTTGACATGGTCAGTAAATATGCCTTTAATCTAAAATGAGTCTGATGCCCAATGCTCTGTCTTCCTCGGGGGTAAAGCCTGAATGGAAAGACAAGGCTTTGAAATGCACTAGGATTAACTGGGTTGGATGCTGATGAACTAACATGGAAAAAAGTTTCCAGTGGAAAAGGACCTCCATGGACACCCCTCCGAGGGTTTCCCTCTGGCGCTGAGATGTCTCACTGTGAGCAAAAGTACCACAGCTGATCTCAGCTGTTATGACAGTTGAACTGTAAGGGATGCCTGTCTGTCAGTCATGTAGGACCTGGAGCTGAAGGAAGGAAGTTTGAGTTGAGCTTTTGGAAAATGGTTATGAAATATTTTGTTGCTGAAATCACTGAGCAAATCCTGAGACTTCTTGTAGAAGCTTTGTAGTAGCGAGGGAGGGAGAAGGTGATAGCATCAGGCAGAATATATTCCAGTAGTACAGCTGTTGTTAGGCTGCAGAGGTGAGCACTGCTCAGGTTTAAATTGCAGATGGCTGGAGTCATCCAGCCTGAAGCAGTCAGAAGATGCAGCTTCTGACAACCCGCCCTGTCTGGCAAACTGGGAGTAGTCAGAGGTACAAAATATTCGGATATGCAAACAATGAATAACACAGTGACCCACATAAATGTTCGTTTGGGTTTTTTCCCATGTACTACAGGAATGTTCCATCTGGTTAGACTGTTTTGACCTATCCTCCTTTGGTGAAAGTCCGGGACCATCCTTAGTAATGCTGTAGAAAAACCCCTTATAGAAACTGCAGGAAATGAAAGGATGTTTCAAATCATGGTTGTGCAGTAGAATACGTAGGTGGAAGGATCATCCAGCCGTGACACTTTAAATTTCAGAAATCTGAATCATAGGGTTTGATTCTTGTGATCACTAGCTAGTACTGGGGCCTTCTTCAAGCTTTCTAGAGCACTGAGCTCATGAACAGACAAGTTTCTAACAACAGCCAATAGATGCAACTGCTTTGTGCTTCTAGTAACTCAAGTACACCATCGCTGTGTAGTGCTGTTTTATGATGAGATGGATCATTAGTTAGGGATCATGGTGTAACTCCTTTTTTGTCTAGACCCATGACCAGGATCTCAATGTGGCTTTTAATCTGAAAGATTTTTTTTTCTCTTGCAAAACTGCTTCCTGTACCATTGGTCAGTCTTTGATACTGCCCAGATACACAACTCACTCTTGGAACTGGGAGCACATGCTGGAGACAGGCTAAAAGTGGTGAATCAAAAGCTTTGTTGGCTTTATAAATATATTTAAAATGATGCTGTGATTAAGCAAGTTACACCGTTTTTAACTCCATAGACCTCATCTCCTTTGTTTGACTTGAGTAATGTAACAAAAAGAAATTTTTATTAGTCTGAATAAACTGCAAGCAGAATTCTGTTCAGCTAAAAGGATTAATGGAGCTGAAATTACAAGCTTTTTAACTTGCTGTTAGAAAAACAATAGACCGTAGCTTGACTCCCTAACTCAACTTGATCTTCTGTTGCTGCATAAAGCAAACAAAAAGTGTTGCATTTGTAAACAGTACATTTAGTACTCAGGAGTATAGAAATCAGTAATGCCACATTTGTCATTGTGTTCTAGCCCATAGCTACAGTTTGATATTTTTCCACCAAGGAAACTTGAGGTAGAAAACTCAAAATACAAACTGCAATTAAGAAGGACACCAGAATTGCTGTCAGTGCTTTGAATTTGAAGCTGAATAATTCAGTACACATCCAGATTTTCCAGCCCCCAGAAAGCTTCAGTGTCAAAGGAGCACAGTGGTTGTACTAGAATGAAACTTGAATACAGTGACATGGGTGCAGAGGGGAGTTTTGTAATAGTGGATAAAACTGAAGAACACTGTTTCTATTGTTTGTTAATACTATTTGATACATTTTTACTATTATTTCTTAGTTTCTTATTTGTTGATTAATAGGGCAAAGGGCTTCAAAACAAAAAAGTGGTGTATTCAACTCACATTAGAGCATTCTGTTGTCTAAAGATGGTCTGTCTGTCCTCTCACCTTTCTGTAGAGAAAAACTATTATTTTCTCTTTTGTATAGGTTGGGAAGGATTCCTTTGGCAATGATTATGTTGAAAATTTGAAGAAGAATGGTATTTCTGCAGGTAAATTTTTACTTGGAAGAAACCTTTTGTATTATTTTTAAGCTTTAAAAACCGGTAGTGGAAGATTTCTAATTTTATTGCCTTATTGGATGGGTTTTACCATTCAGAACTATGAATAACTGTTTTGACACAGCTGGCAGGAGTGAATGAGTACGGGTGAGAATATGGGGACTTGTGAAATCAGCTGTGCCACTAAAAATAAAACACAATGTTATTACCTCTAAAGCTCAGATGATTGCATCAGTCCAAGTCTCCTGAAGGTAACTTGCTGTTACGCAGGTGTTTAGTCTGGCAGTAATGATGGCAGTGCCTGGTGAGAAATTGAAAAATTCAGCCTGATTATTCATTCTCAATTTCACGTTGTGAGTGGAAATGCATTGGTAAACTCAGTACATTCCACCTTTTGCATTATGAAACAACACGTGCAGTCGTTTTAGAGACTTCAGCTGATGTTAGCACACATGCACACAAAAATCAATGTTAAAAGGCTTTCAGGAAAAGGGATAATTAAATATTCACAACATTCCGGTATCTTTGCACCTTTGTAACCCTAATTCTCTCTGTATTATGTGCTGCTTGATCACACTTTTGTCTGCACAACTTTTGTCTCCTTCAGGGTGGACAAGGATGGACAGATGCAATCACTAAGTGGCAATTCAATATTCTGTTTATCTCTTCTGTTTAATGTGCAGCCACAAGCTTCATTTACTGCATTATTCAAATCCTGCTTTAAAGAGAGAACTATCAGTATTTTGTGGGTTTTTTGATTATGGTTATCGGTATAGCATCTAAATATTTCACAAATGTATATACAGGTTTATTCATTGCCTATCTTTCAACTTAGGCAAAAAACCAGGCAAGGATACCATGAAAACAGTGTCTGTTGGTGTACAGTTCTAAATCTCTCCAAAGCATGACTACCACATGAATAAAGTCTTTGGTCATGTAAATAAAGATATTATAATGCATAACACTTAATGAAAATGCATATTCCATATGCATAATGAACCTTAAAACTCATGTTTTCTGATGTAAATGATTGGTCTCACAGTCATAATGTTAATTTTTAAAGAGACTTTATAGCAGCAAAAGGAAAGCGTAGGGGAAAAAATTCAGAAATTCCATCATATTGCACTTCATTGACACGTAGGGAGATCAGTTGAAGGGTTGGAATGTTTAGGACCAAGGTACCAATTTCTGCTGATTGAGTTTAAAATATCTCAAAATGGTGTTTGATTGTCACCTCCTATATGCATCAGCCATGGAGGAAGAGAGGATGGTGAGGCTGATCCAGGATCCCAACCTGCATTCCAAAATCTGGAGGCAAGAGTGATTCAGTGTGCACTGACCTCTTGCTTAAGTTGGGCTTATTTCAGTCCCAGGCTTTTCATCTCAGTTTAATCCTTTCATAGCCTACACCTGTTGTACATAGGGATACTGGTTACTGGATGAAAACCCTTGCTTTTCCCCCTTCCCTGTTTTTTTCTGTCTTCTGCAACCCGTTACGAGTGCTGCTCAGACCATCTAGATCTTTATTGATTTGTTGTTCCCTCTCCCACACTTGAACTGAGCAGCTTGCTGCTCATACTGCTTATTTTCTGCAGGAAGAGCATTAAAAGTACAGAAAACACAAGTTCTCCGTGTTTGATTCCAGTGTGCAGACCAAGCTCATGGTGGAAAGAAGCTGTAATTGCAAGGGAAGGTCTGCTCTGACCCTTGTGACTCTGAGCTAGATAAGGGCACCTCCAGGGCCACTATTGCAGATACTTTAGCAAAACTGAATGTGTGATGTTAGGTGTTTTTGCAGCCTTGTTCAAGTTTGAGTAGATTGGCCACAAAGGCACATCCTGAGAAAGAAACCCAGTTTTGCCCAGCATTAAGTCCATGGTCTAAAAAGTTAGAACACTAGAACTTCTTAAAAACTCACCAGAATTTGTCTCAAATTAAATAGTAGATTTTTCTCAAGTACATTTTTTGGAGTGGGAAAAAAAAACCCTCAACTTTTTGAAGAGTTTTCTACTACAGTTTTATCTGAGAAACCCATCTGTCATAGAAGGTTTCAGACCACTGGTTAATGTTGGACAAATTTGCTGTCAGCTGCAAACAGGTTCTTAAAGTAGTAAACCCGGAACAATCTTCCTAACAGACAGTGCTGCCAGCCTCACTTCTAGTTAATTTATCTGAATAATAATCCACAGAGGAAACATAACTCCACCACTGCCATGTTAATATCACTGCTGAAATGCAAATCTACACAGAATTAAATGCCGTGGTGTTTTAATATTTTCATTTTTCTCCAGCCTTGACTCTATTGTTTCATTGGATAAAAGAAATACTCCCAAGTAGGAGCAGAGTGCCTGAGAAGGCTGTATAAATAACATGCTTTCTCTAAAGCAGAGATGTAGCCAAATTAAAGAATGTTGGACTCGCATTTCTCTTTTGTGGGTGTAAATTAACACTTGTTGTTGTTGTTAGCTTCTCTGGCATTGTTGCACATGAAAGAGTAATTAGCATTTTTAAATTGCTGGAGGTTATGAGTTCATTTTAGATTTAATTCAGTTAAACTGCATCACATGCTATTGGTTGAAAGTAATGTATTGAACTAATGCATGCTCTAACTTTTCCCTTTCTTAGCATTTGTAGGTCAGACTACAGAGGCTGCTACTGGAACTGCTTCAATAATTGTCAACAGTGAAGGTACATATTTCTGCTCTGAATTGTCCTCTTTGTTCTGCCTCTACAGCCATAAAAAAACCCTTTGCCATGTCACTCTTAATTGCAGAATTATTTTTTCTACATCTTTCGGTTTTTTCATGATCTTAGTCACACTTCATTGCACTTCTGTTTATTACAGGCAGTGTTGTAGGATGAGTCGCCTGAAAGGAGCAGAATCAGATGCTTAAATTAGCAGCATGATAACCCTAATTCAATCAGCCAGCTGATCTGTCTAGTTTTATGGTGGCCTGAGTACACAGTGTTTCAGAAGGTTAAAGCTCTCAGTTTCCACTACAACTTACCTAGCACTTTTATTATAGAATCATTTATGTTGAAAAGATCATCAAGTCTTTGATAAAGATCACCTTTAATATCATCAACTCTTAAAGCATCGAGCACTGACCCAGCACTGCCAAGTCCACCACTAAACCATGTCCCTAAGTACCACATCTACATGTCTTTTCAATGCTTCCAGAGTTGGTGACTCAGCCGCTTCCCTGTGCAACCTGTTCCAGTGCTTAACAACTCTTTCAGTGAAGAAATGTTTCCTAATATCCATTCTAAATCTTCCCTGGTGCAACTTGAGGCCATTTCCTCTGGTCCTGTGAGGGAAAGGTTTGCCTCCTCAGGACACTGAGTGAGTCAATATGCCCTGAATCATGAATGGGAATTGTCCTTAGTGTAGGTAGAAATATTTATGTTGATCTTGTAATTTTACCACAAGTTTTGATCCCAAGCAAGTTGTGCTGTTGAGAGCTCTTAAGAGGAGTACATGTGTCTGCATCAAAACACTGAGCTCAGAAATGATAATGTTTATGCAAACACAACAAATTAAGTGCGATTAGATTAGTTTGCTTTTGGTGCTGCTAAGAGCCTTCATGTGAACAGTGACCACAGTTTGGCTGACACATCAACTTCACAAGTTTCTGTGTAACACTGATAGTAGTACGTTGTTCTGCAGCTCAAAATGGGAAAGGAAACATGACTATTTACTCCAGCAGCAAACCGGGGAAGGAATTGTGACTAAAGACAAGTCTACACAGGAACATTCAGAAAAATTAAGCAAATTAGTTGGAGATGTGAGTTTAATTTTCCCTAAGTAAGATTAACCAAAGCCTTGCATGACACCTCTAATTCAGAAATAAGGTATATGCCTTGGATAACCTGGATACCTGCCTCTTAGCTTCCACCTCCTTCTCTTGGTTTGGATCAGCAGGTAAATTACCACAGCAACTCTTAACACATCTTTACTATGCCACATACAGTCACTATGGCCTCTGTTAATAGGAGAGACAGTGAGAATCCAGTAGTGCTCCCAGGCCTCACTTTTTTGTGCATGCTTTGCACTAAGCTTGCTGTCCAGAGTAGCTGAGTAAGAACCAGTCTTATACTTCCCAAGTCATAGGCATGGCCAACTAAGATAAACATAGTCTAGACTTGAATGGACAGAGTGTGTTAAAATTTTAACACCATGAATTTTTCTGAAGGATAAGGAGCAAAACCGTCTTGTGCATGTAAAACCTTTATAAGCACCAGGAAAAGGAAATTGATTGTTCAGGGCCATGAGGTTAACAGTGGGCTATCTTCGCGTTGGTGTCAGTGTGAAGGGTCTCTGACAGTCTTGTCACTCACATAGTGACATGAATAATGCATCATGTCCTGTAGTTTGTGTCTTTGAGAAACTGAAAAACCCTGTGTGAAGTTAGCACTGGCCTCAGATTTCATTTAAAATTGAGTAGAAGAGCAAACCTGGACAGAACTATGCTCTAAAGCAAACAGATGCACAGAATTGGTAATGGTTCTCGTTACTTCTCTCAAAAACCATCTGGCGCCTGAATTGAGTAAATTGCAATGAAATAGCAGTACTTATGTGCTTTGCCGTGCAAGAGACACTATTTTTTTCCCCCTGTAGAAACCTGGCTGATTTGACCTAAACAGGTTTTACAGCACTTTTCAAAGGGCTTGTCTACACATGCATGTTTTACCGCAGTGGCTGTGCTGGCATAGCTGAAACACCACAGCATTCGATGGTCTGAGGTAAAGTAGTTTCTGCTAGTTTAAATGTTACCTAAAAGGGAAGCATTTGAAGCTGGGATTGGTGATGGTGTTTTGTCTTGAGACAATGAAGGACAAATAGAAACCATAGCTATCATCTCTTTGAATTGCCACGTTTTAATTGCAGCATTTTCACATACCTAACCTGCCCTTTTTCTTACCAGTTCTTTACAAGTACTGATACTTGGGAAAAATAGCAACTCAGATCTACTGAGTACAATCACAGGCAGAAGTAGAAGAGAGATTCAAGTAGAGAGTGTATGAGACTGTGATGTATGAGTGAAGGCAGAGGAAAAGAAAGCTGTAGATCAGAGTCCAAGGAGGCTCTGAAGTAAACTTTCCCTGATGTTACCTCTGTCTGTCTAGCTGGTGCTGCTGAATTTTGGGAAGTTTTTACTGGTTACTGAATTGCACAACTCTAACTCACCCACTATTGGAATTGGCAAAGTAATAAGAAAATTGAAAATCGTCAGGCACATTTGATACTGTCAAAGTTGCATTATATTCTGGGAGAATACAGTATAGTTTCAATAAAAGTTAGAGGGGTTAAATCTCTGCTCTCATGCAAAATGGTGGAGAGATGTTTAACGAGTTTATAGTGCTGCACTGGAAAATGTGCAGCCCAGAGAGGCTGCAAAGGTTCCCTCTGGGCTGGTCTCCGAAATCTATGCAGAAATTTTTCTGGGACCTCATGTTCCTTTCAGTTGTTCTCCTTTATGCAACTGCCTTTTCAGATAAGTTTTGACTAAACACAAGCTTCAGTATACCAGGACCCTGTACACTTCAAATCTGTACTTGTTCTCTTAAGGATAAAAGCTGGTACATCCAGCTGCTTTTCTTAACACATTTTCTTCAAGGTGCATCATACCACTTTGAACCCCAAGTTTTGTTTCCCCTTTCCGCCTGCCTTCTTGCCACCAGCTCTGTCACAGCACACCTTCTGCTAACATTGTGCTGTTGGATGGTAAGAGCTCCAGAAAGTGATGATATGTGTACTTTTACATACACATGGGAGGAAAGGCAGGAAAAACCTCTCTTTATGGATAATATTTTATGTGATTATCTCTGAAGTTCATTGCAGCTTTGTCCATATCTGGTACTGACTGTTGATGGTGCCATTGCTATAGTGCCTGACTGGACTAGAGGTTTGAACAAGTCTAACAACTTCCATTCTCATAGCAGAAATACAGTGGAGGGACAATAGAGGTTGGCAGGTCATGATTAAAGTGCTCTTGATTATTGCAAGTTAGGACTTAAAGCTCACCTACATGGAACACTGCAAGATAACCCTCACTTGAGATAGGCATTTTGCTGACTTTACGATAAAGTTACTAATCATTCATGAACAGTGAATAGACATTATTTTACGAGTGTACCTTCAGTACCAAAGCACTGCTAGTCTAAAAACATTCAAAATATATATTTAGATAAGGCTAAATAAACAAGGCACACTTAGAATACACATGGCAACTTGTTTGAATTGCACTTTCCAAAGAGGAAAATCTTTGTTGCAAACCTTCAGGTTTATGAAGAAATGTCACCTGAATTTCAGGTGTCACCAGACTTTCTATGCATTGACATATGTTATGAACTTGAATGTTTTGTGTACAAGGCTATTCAACACCTCTACCCGTGGAAATTATGATACCATAGCACACCCAAAACTTGTATTCATGAACTGTGTGATTTGGCAGCAAATGGTTTCTTGTAGCATTATTTTCTGATCCCAAATATAATTATTTTTTTCTGTATGAATTACTATGCACAAGCTCTGCAGCTATTGTTACAATTGCACTGTTTGAGATTTTGGTGAATTCTAAGCACTGCTGATGGTTTTTAGACTCATCATCCAGTTTTAAACAATGATGGTTATTGCACTGTGGTGGGTACTGGTTTGACACTGATTTTTCCATTGGCACTTCTCATCTGGTAGCATCTATAAGGTGACACTTGTAAAAAAAAAAAATCTAGCTTGAGTTACCCATCTTTCTAGGAAGTGACAGTAGCAGGTTTAGAAGCCCAACCAAGGACAGTATTTACATGTGCAGCATTGACACTGATTGGACCCAATCCCCATCTGGTGTAAGCTTGCACAAGCTGATCAGCTTCATTTAGCTGTTATAGCTTATAGCAACTGTGAATGTAGCCCGTAATATTCTAGCTGATGTCTGCAAAACTTAGAATTATATATCTGCTTCCATCAAAACAGAGAATTTTTAGTCTAAGGAAAGAGATTTTAGAATGAATGGTAATGCAGGAAGTATATTATTGTCATTCTTAGTGTAGGTAATGTTTTGCCTCACTGGAGCGGTTTTAAAAGTTAGGTGTATGGCTTAAGGCTTCACCTAGAGCTAACAGAGATGCATAGACATTTCTGGACAGTACTTTATCTCCTCCTCAAACAAATATCTAAGATATGTAAAATTTAGAAAACTCTGAAAATATTTGTCTCTTCTCCTTGTTGAAGGAACCTAGAAAAATAATGTTTAGAAATTAGTTTTCTTAGACCTTTCTAGACTGTGGGATTTTTTTAAAAACTTAAAAAATTCGTTCATGTTGGACAAGATGAATCCCACCCCTCTTTGCCATCTGTCTATAACTCTGTTGTCCCTGGTGTTGATTTCCCATCTGATTTCCCTGGCATGAAATAATTGCTTTCAACAAAATTGTTGCTGTTAGTACAAAATTTTGGTATTAATTGTAAGTGCATGGGTCCAGATTCTCCTTTCATGCACCCTGATGCAAGTTTGTGGTGGCTGCTGTTCATCAGTTTGTGTGGTATGTGTAGCTAGGAACAGAAGGTGGGTTTGTCCCTCGAGCTTGGCTTAAGCCCATCTGGACTGTTGCACCACAGTAGGTACTGCATTCCCCTGGCAGGTCTGGAACCAGACTCCAAGTCTCTGACCTTCTGTGGTTACAGAGAAAAGCTTCAGACCGTGATCCAGTGCAGCATGGTCTACCTCGAATTTGCACGTATGGGTTTAAGCAAACAGCCCTCCTTATCGCCTTGGGCCATTAGCTCTAAAGTCTAATAATAATATACATGTCAGTACAGCTAAATAGTTCAGCAAGATAATGCAGCAAGACATGTGGATAGAGTCTGAGATTCTAGGAGGCACACAGTCCAGGCAGAAATTAAATACATTTTTGTTCCACTGATTCCCTGCCTTTCACTGTTTGCACGGCTGCACCCTATGAGCTTTCAAAATACATGCTTGGCAAAATAGGTGCAATTTGCCTTTGAATATTTCCTCAACAGGATTCAGATATCTTTGGTAACGCTTACTTGTTGCAGAAGGTTTTTTGTTTTCTTTTCTTTAGGTTTGTTTGTGTTTTTTCTTTTATCCAAGATGCCCATCATTGTCTGTTGAAAAGCAGGGCGTTGGCTTTAAGTGCTGAGGTTTTGCTTTTCATATGCAGCTGTTCTGTACCAAACCATTGACAGCAGAATTGCTTTGGAAAGCTTGGGTCCCTCCCTCTGAGATCACTATATTATTCTTTCCATTGTCTTGCTTTCTTCTCGGAACATATTTAGGGAGAGAAGCTTTGCACGTTCCTTATTCAAAGGACTTTGAAGTCACATTCAAAAAAAATAATGTATTTAAAAACATAAATATTTATTTGCAGAGTAATTCAGTTCATTACAGAATTGGTAGCCTTTAATGATTGGCAGTCCTTAAAGGAATCTTCAGCGGGGGCGGGCTGAGCCTGTAAATCAAGGAACAACTGACTTACTGAATTTAATACCTGAGTGATTAATAATAAATTTTAATTTGAAAGCACCCATGCCTGAAGGTCTCTAAGTGTTGTAACAGAGATTAAAAAAGAAAGAAGCTGCAATAATAGAAGGTGATTTGTGTGTCTGAAGCAAAACAAAAGAATATTTGGAACTTACATAAATGAACCTCCTCACCCAACTGTAAAACAAACTGCAAGAGGGGAAAGGATCTTAGGTGTGCTTTGAGATAGAGCTGTGCTTCCACATGCACACCTTTGCTCAGACCATTCTACTGGTGAGCTTTAAGGGCAGGAGAGGCTGTCACCCACCTCCTTTCCTCACTTCTGATAAAACTTTCCATAGACACAGGTATCACCTTTCCGGGTTTTGGTGACAAGCTGATTCTGGTTTTCATGATGGTTAGAAGCCCTAACGTGAAATGTCTCAGGTAAATGGTGCAAACCTACTTCTCTGAAATCTAGAGAACATGCATAATTTTCAGAGCTATGTGAAATACTCTGTTTACAGCTGATGGGAAAATTAAAATTTTTATGGCATTTTTGGCATATGAATTCAGTAATCACGTTGACGCTTTTCTCTTCCAAATGCTACTGGAATATTTTTGGATGATGCAAATATCAGCCTTCACGTGTATTCCCCATCTCCACTGTGACTAGTACACTGCTTCTTTAGAGTTCACAGAAAACACCAAAATAAGACTGGGGAATGCCCATACATGATTTTCCCCAAAGAGATGTATATTGCATTTGTTGTGAGTGTAGCATTCATTAGTCCATTGATCTTTCTGATTATCTTCTGAAATATTTGGGTATTTGAAAATGTCAGCAATGCATACAATTTTAGTGGGGATGTTTTGGAAAGTAAATTGAAATACTCGTCAGAAATGTATTGTAAAAAAAGCAAGAAACTGTTTTACAAACTTTATTGCAAAAGTTAATGTGAACAACACAATATCTTCTCTTTAGGACAGAATGTTATTGTCATAGTCCCAGGAGCCAACCTCCTTTTAAATTCTGAAGACCTGAAGAAGGCTTCTGATGTCATCTGTAAAGCCAAGGTGGTTGTTTGCCAGCTAGAAATAACCCCTGCTGTTTCTCTTGAAGCTCTGAAGATGGCACGTGCCAGTGGAGGTAATTTAACAGAAGCCATTCTGTTTCTTTCATTTGTGCTGCATAAAAAATATTCTTTATCGTGCTTTCTAAATATAGATCCTGTGGTCTATTCTGGTTTCTGTCACACTGGTTTTATTTAGAATTGAAACAATAGCCAACAAATTCATGCTATGCTAATGAAAACTGAATTCAGTTTTTAAATTTTGCAGTGTTTACCTTGAATGGCAAATCGACCCTTATAATCTCCCTGTCTATGTCTGGTGCTGCCTTTCCTCCTATTTTCATGCTGTGACTAAATAAAGCATAATGTTGTTAGGTCAGGAGCTATGGGCCTGACTCTGGTATTATTCCAGAGCAGAACAAGCGTAATGAATGCAAGTCAGTAAAGATCCACACACAGTAAAGTGTGTGGAAATGAATGAAATGACCTCCAAACCAGACTTAGGCCCTTTTTCTCCCCAAAAATTGCTTTTTCTCCTTAACCAGAATTCTTAGAGTGTGACTTGGCACACTGCCTTTGAATAGACACAGTCATGGTCTGTGAAATTATTAGTAAATGGTTACTGTGCTGTACTTTTAAATTTGGAGCATTGTTCATAGAATCATAGAATTTTAGGGGTTCTGATGGACCATATAGATCATCCAGTCCCAAGCCCTTGCCATGAGCAGGGACACCTCCCCCCTAGACCAGGTTGCTCAAGGCCTTATCCAACCTGGATTTAAACATTACCAGAGCTGGGGCTTCTACTACCTCCCTGGGCAATTGTTTCTTCAGTGCTGCATATATGTAGAGGAAAGCTGACATTTTGCTTAACAGGATGAGGTTTATCGTTTAAGTGCCTGTAATGCTTTCAGTTACTCAAGCACAATTACCACAGTATTTGAAGACCAAGTCAATAATTATGCAAGTAAGGCATCTACATGAGATTAAAAAAATGTTTTTCCCGTCCTTCCAGAAGATAAGACTGGGAGGGGAGAGCTTATAGCAGATCAGGGATGGAACTGGGATCAGCACTAGTTCCTTGCAGCTAGGCCCATGCCTGGTCTGGTAGATCACAGCACGTTGGGATTGTTGGCTCTTCAGTTCTCCTTCTGCACTAGGATCCGTCGTGCACCTGCTGTGATCCCTAGTGTTCACGCACTAGTGCAGATGTCAGACATAGCAGAACTTTGTGCAATGTGTTCGTGTATTCTGTGCTGATTTAAGCAGTTGTGTTAGATGTGAGGCTTGGAGAGAGTGGCCCTGACACTGTGGTGATAATAGTGATAAACTCTAGAAATGGATCTGCGCGTGGGAAAAAATTAGTTTGATTTCTGTTGAAATGCCAAAACTGGGTTCATGCAAATCTCAATAAAAATTAAACTCTTTTCAAAACTGAATAGCACCTGAAATGCTTACAATTCCAAGGGCAGAGGGTGGGGAGGAAGGCGGAGGGGAAGATTGCAGGACAGAACTTAGTATATTTTTTCATTATGTTTTATGAAAATTAAGAGAAGCTTTCCTAATCTAGTGGTTCATGAACTACAGTTGAGTGTGTGACTTATTTTTTCTATTTCTAACTCTATGCACAATTTTGGCAAGATGTTTCACACTTTTGTCACCCTCATATGGCAAGATGCCAGCCTGTGACAGAAGAAAAGAGAGGAGTTTTTTCGAGGCAGTTGAAGAAATCCAAACCTGATACAGTGAACAGGCATGCAAGCATTTAGCAACTGTAGACAGCACAATATATCAAGAAAAGATAGTAGTTAACTGTGGCCAGCTGCAGTTCTGTGCTGTCAGCCTGCTAGCATTGTGCAGCTCTTTTATCAGGAAGCCTCTGGTTGCTTCTGCTTTAAAGCAATCGGCTACACATGTTCAAATGTCATGTGCCGTCAACTCTAAGGAAACAGCCAAGTTTGTAGCACTGCAAAAATGTATCCATAGCCAACAGTAAATTGTTTATGCAGTTTCCCTTCTTTTAGCCTGCAATCCCTCATGTATAATGTAATACTGCATGTTAGAATGTGCACTAGGCTATTTTTGTTTAAAACAGATGCATACCCAGATGCCTCAAACCTCTGTTTCAATGGGATTTTTGCTTATTTTTCTTCATTCTTGCTGAAAGAAAGAGAGAAAGAATATGGACACACAGGCAAGAACGCTGCTTCTCTTCAGTGAACATCATCTGGATCTGTAAGCTAGAGAGGGACATCTCATGTGTGATATTCTCTCACTGAGGCACTGATTATTCAGTATTCTTGTGACATGGAAAGGAAGGAGAGGGAGGAAGGAGAGGGAGGAAGGAAGGAAGGAAGGAAGGAAGGAAGGAAGGAAGGAAGGAAGGAAGGAAGGAAGGAAGGAAGGAAGGAAGGAGGAAAGGAAGAAGGAAGGAAGGAAGGTTGGTTTCTAAATAATTATGTGAAGTAAGTATAAACTAGTGGAAATCTGACTGGACAATTACAGTTTTTTAGTGGCTGATGTTGAGAAGCTGCTGCTCTTCCAAGGGGGAGCCAACTTCATTGATGGGCAACATGTTATTTTATATCAAAGTTTGTAAAGCAGTTTTTGGGCTTCTGTAATGACAGACTCCATAAAAGATGGCTGATAATGCCCAGCATATTAAGTAAGTATAAACTAGTGGAAATCTGACTGGACAATTACAGTTTTTTAGTGGCTGATGTTGAGAAGCTGCTGCTCTTCCAAGGGGGAGCCAACTTCATTGATGGGCAACATGTTATTTTATATCAAAGTTTGTAAAGCAGTTTTTGGGCTTCTGTAATGACAGACTCCATAAAAGATGGCTGATAATGCCCAGCATATTAATACTGTAGTGGAGAATGAGCTGGAAGCAGCCTCAGTTATTAAGGTTCAATGTCACTTGCAAGTAAAGGATCTACTTTTCAGATCCTTCAACTTCTTAATCTTTTAATTGGGCTGCAATTTGTTGTATCAGCTGTTTGTCTATGGTTAAACTCTTTGTAATTTCTGCCAGAGCATTGTGGCTGCAGAAACCAGGCAGTGCAAAATGCCTCCCACCCTACCCCCTTTTAAATTATGAATTCTGGCTACCTTAAAACTTACTTAAGACTTGATAGCAAGGGAGCTTCCTTTTAAAGATAAGCCTTTACAGTGGTATGAAAATCTGTCTGATTTTAACTGTATTATCTGCCCTTGGAAACAACTACCTTTCTCATACACCTGAGAAAATTGTTAAGAGCTTCACAACTAGCTTCTCCCGAGTCTGTCCACACAGACAGTTGTCCATTTGGGCATGAGTGTCAGTGTAATTTCTGAATCTGATTTGAGGCAACTTCTTTTATACTGTTAAAAATCTGTTGTAGGCCCTGGAAGCACAGCGCAAGAGCTTGCTCTATTTGAATACAGAAGAGACAAAGCTGGATGGGAATGCTGGGGAGGGAGAGTAGATTTCAGACAAGGGAAATGTAGGAGGGATTTTCATGATTTTTGGGGGTGGCAGAGGAAGAAGGAAGGGAGAAGCTGAAAGGGGAACAAAATTGGAATAGAGATTAGGATTTTTTGAATAGACATTGGAATATCTAAAATATTCCAATATAGAATGTATATTATATATATATATATATATGTAGAGTCAGGGAGTAGGCTGTGGGCACTGTAAGTGGGAAAAAGAAAGCATGAGAGAGGGGGTGTAAAGAGATACGATATGATGAAAATTGAGTGAAAAAGGTTACAGTTGCATTGTTCCTTTGCAAGGAGGCATAAAGAATAAAAACTCAGTGAGGAGAATGGATCTTGGCAAAGGGAGAGAAGGCGGCAAGCTCAAAAAGTGGGCCCATTGAAATCTTAGGAGGTTTAACAAGACCAAGTGCAAGGTGCTGCACCTGGGTCAGGGCAACCCCCAGTGTCAATACAGGCTGGGGATGAACAGATTGAGAGCAGCCCTGACAAGAAGGACTTGGGGGTGCTGGTGGGTGAGAGGCTGAAGATGAGCTAATACAGGCTGGGGATGAACAGATTGAGAGCAGCCCTGACAAGAAGGACTTGGGGGTGCTGGTGGGTGAGAGGCTGAACATGAGCTGTCAGTCTGCACTTGCAACCCAGAAAACCAACTGCATCCTGAGCTGCATCAAAAGCAGCATGGCCAGCAGGTCGAGGGAGGTCATTGTGCCCCTCTGCTCTGCTCTGGTGAGACCCCACGTGGAGTACTGCATCCAGGTCTGGGGTCCTCAGCACAGGAAGGACATTGATCTTTTGGAGCAAGTCCAGAGGAGGTCACCAGAGTGATTAGAGGGATGGGCCACCTCCCCAGTGAGGAAAGACTAATAGAATTCGCATTGTTTAGCCTGGAAGAGAAGACTTTGGGATGTCCTAATTGTGGCCTTCCAGTGCCTGAAGGAACCTACAAGAAAGATGGGGAGAAACTTTTTACAAGGTCATGTAGAGACAGCACAAGGGGGAATGGCTCTAAACTGAAAGAGAGCAGGTTTAGATTAGATATTAGGAAAAGAATTCGTTACTGTGAGGGTGGAGAGGCACTGGAGCATGTTGTCCAGAGAAGTTGTGGATGCCCCACCCCTGAAGTGTTCAAAGTCAGGTTAGATGGGGCTTTGAGCAACCTGGTCTAGTGGAAGGGGGTCCTAGATGTTGTCCCTAAACCAACTGCATCCTGAGCTGCATCAAAAGCAGCATGGCCAGCAGGTCGAGGGAGGTCATTGTGCCCCTCTGCTCTGCTCTGGTGAGACCCCACGTGGAGTACTGCATCCAGGTCTGGGGTCCTCAGCACAGGAAGGACATTGATCTTTTGGAGCAAGTCCAGAGGAGGTCACCAGAGTGATTAGAGGGATGGGCCACCTCCCCAGTGAGGAAAGACTAATAGAATTCGCATTGTTTAGCCTGGAAGAGAAGACTTTGGGATGTCCTAATTGTGGCCTTCCAGTGCCTGAAGGAACCTACAAGAAAGATGGGGAGAAACTTTTTACAAGGTCATGTAGAGACAGCACAAGGGGGAATGGCTCTAAACTGAAAGAGAGCAGGTTTAGATTAGATATTAGGAAAAGAATTCGTTACTGTGAGGGTGGAGAGGCACTGGAGCATGTTGTCCAGAGAAGTTGTGGATGCACTATCCCTGGATGGGAAGCCCCTGAGCAACCTAGTCTAGTGGAAGGTGCCCCTGCCTATGGTAGGGGGGTTGGAACTAGATGATCTTTAAGGTCCCATCCAACCCAGACCATTCTATGATTCCATGAAAGAATTTGAGCAGAAAATAATTTGGTGTTTCTCAGGAGGACCAAGCAGATTGCCCTGTTCACAAGCCATGCTCTCCCTCACAGCCCGAAAGAGGATCTTAGGGTTCCTCTATCTCCCTCCTGCTCAGCAGATATTAAATATGGAAGAAATCTAATAGTAATGTATTACACTGTGATCATGATGAGTCTGTATTACTTAAAACCCAAGCTGGAACACTTCCAGTGTTGCTCCTGACCCATGCATATGTCGGCATGATACCACATGACAGAGTTTGTTTTGCAGTGTGTGCTGTTTGATTGTTTTACCTAGGAAAGTATCCCTTAAAGATTTGTGTTTAAGAAAACTTTATTAGGGTTGCAGTTCAGAAAATAGGAGATGCAAGAGTTAAGGTTGCCTGTGAAACCTTAATTTGTCTCCTTTCTGCATATGTATTTTGTTGCAGTCTTTAATTATGTGATCACATGCTGTTTTTCAGTGGTATGTGATCATATAATTAAAGAGTTTATTATAATACATACTATATTGTAATAATATGAGGGAACCAAATTAAGATTTCATTGGAATACCTAATCCTGGCATTTTCTGACTTCTGAGTAAAAGTCTTTGTCATTTTAATGCTCTTTTTAATGAGGCAGGTAGAGAGGCCTGGTAAAGTTGTACAGTCAAAGGCTGGAACTTTCAGAGTGCTAATCACCTAACTTCTAAACTTCTTGCTATTCAGATTGCAGAATTCTCTGTGCAACTTTGTCTTTTAGGTCATTAAGTGTGATTCAAAAACATTCAGGGTGTCTGGCTATAGCTTACAGTCTAAATATGTGTTTGGGACCAAAAATTTAGGCATCCAAATTGAAAGATTTGATCACTCACTGTATTTCTGGAGTGTTGCTCCACTTAAAAATGCTGGCCTTGTGGCTAAGACACACAAGTATTAATCATGAAATTGGCAAAGTGTGAAACCAAGGATGTAGACTTCTGTGTTAACAGTGAGTAAGTCACTTGCACTGTCCTCATGACAAATCTTTGCTGCTGTTTCATGGGGCCTTAGGCTACTACAGTTTAAAGTTAGGTTAACTAACATATTCTACCACGTGTTAAGTTTAGGCCTAGCTCTGCCAGATAGCATATTAAAAATATACAGTGCCTTGTCTAAGCTACAGTTTTATAATGTGGCAGTTTGAACAGGTTAGGTAACACATTCAGAAACACGTTTAACTCCTTGTCTGGACATGCCCTTCATTACTCCATAACCCGTGATTCTTCATCTACAGAACTCAGATAACAATGCTGAAAAAATTTGAGAACTAAATCAGGTCTTGTAAAACATATAACAGTCCTGGAAGAAGCATCATCAGTTAAACAAATTGCATTACTGTCTAAGGCTCTTTCCACTTTTTGTTTAATAATTTCTTGGCTATTTTTTTCTCTTGCCCTTCTGTCATGTTCCCATTATAACAGGTGCCTGCACATGAATTGGAATGGAACTTTAAATTCAATAAACAAAACTTTTAGCAGTTCTGTAAAAGAGGGCACAGAAGCTGAGAGTCATTTGTGTGTTACTAATAAACATTGGGGGCTCTGAATTAACCACAATGGCATTTCAAGTGATGATTTATGAATCTAAAACACTACAGATTTAGACTCGCTTTTTCTTTTTTTTTTTCCAGTAAAGACTTTATTTAATCCAGCTCCAGCCCTTCCTGACCTAGATCCACAGTTTTATACCTATTCTGATATCTTCTGCTGCAATGAAACTGAGGTAATGGTCATATGTCATGGTAAAAAAGGAGTCTTAAGCAGTAAAATTTCACAGGGATACTCTTCTCAGAAATGCAGCATAGGGAGGAGGAAAATTGAACCATGCTCCTCTTACATAGGACTTTTGGAGGTGGCTGTTTTTATTCCTGACCTAACCAGCAATGAGGACTATTCTAGAACACCTTTAGCTTGCACTCAAAATTAAATTGTTTGCAGCAGGAAAGTTGGGTTCAACCTTCCTTACAAGTAGATCAGCCAAACAAATCCATAAATGGACACTGGTAAAGTGTTATCAGTAAGTGGTAAATATTAAAATAGTTCCCTGTCCTTGCTCTGCAGTCCCTTGATATGAT